GAGTGGAAGCCCAAAATCTCTGTAAATGTTTATGAAAATTAATAAAATATAATTATAGGAAAAAAAAAAAAATCTGGCTGAACAAAACGCAGTCATGTAAAAAGCTTATTTAAAAGCTAAAAAGCCTAAACAAACACAGTGTTATTACATCTACTCCTCACCTACGGATTCTGTCACTATCCAACATTTCACATTTAAGACAACAGGAAAAGAATCTATTATCTGACAATTTTGTACATTCGTGATATATGTCTGGTTGTAACGAATGCCAAGGTTTAAGGGTAGAATATGCTAAGGTTGTTATATGCCAATTTGACTGGACCATAATGCCCAGTGTTTTATTAGTTATATAATCATGAAATCTGGAAGTTATGTAATGTTGTAGTCTCACTCCGTTTTCTCGTAACTGATTTTCATATAATCACCTAGTCTTATGAGGAATGAGTAGGTTATTCTGTCCTTTTTGTGCCTAAGTAGATAAAACAGACACTTCTGGAGAAAGAAGGGCAATCTCTTCCTATGCCAGTTGGATCCAATTTGACAGTACACAAAAATTCAAAAAAAAAAGAAAAGAAAAAACCAAATAAACAAACAAAACCCACACATTTCAACACTAGAGAAAAGGTAGTACATTTTATTTAGAATTATTTTTTCATTGAAAAGTCTTATGATTAAGATATTTTAACTACTACCTATCCCGAATGCTTTTACCAACTTATTCTGATCTAATATTGCTATCCTAGCATCACGGTCCCCGTTAAGTACTTATCTGCCTCCACTTCTCTATTTTTCTTTTTTGCTGCCTAGCTATTTTGATGTTGTACTATTTTACAAGCTACCAGCAACCTGTATGCAGGGCAGATTATCAGAGAGGCTGGGCTCTATGAGGAGAAGTGTGGCGTCAGGATTGGTGGAAGATCCATTAACAATCTGTGTTATACAGATGACACAACCCTGCCTGCTGAAACTGAGGAGGACCTCATGCACTGGCTGCAGAGGGTCAAGGACTGCAGCCCTCAATATGGACTGAGGCTCAATGTTAAGAAGACAAAGATTCTCACCAGTGGACCAACTGGCAGCATCAGGATGAATGGCGAAGAGATTGAGATTGTTCACAGCTTCAGTTTGCTCGGCTCCACGATCAACACTCTTGGCACCAGCAGCCAGGAAATCAAAGAAAGTATTGCCATCGGAAAGTCTGCTGTTAGGGACCTCTCTAAAGTACTCAAGAGCAACGGAGTGTCTCTGGAGACTAAGGTGCGTCTGATACAGGCCATGGTCTTTTCAATCACTTGTTATGCATCAGAGAGTTGGACAATGACCAAGGAGGATAAAAGGAGAAATGATACCTTTGAACTGTGGTACTGGAGAAGAGTATTGACTGTACCATGGACTGCCAAGAAAACAAACAGATTCATCCTGGAAAGGGTTAAACCGGGTGGCTCCTTGGAGGCAAGGATTCTGAGGCTCTGTCTAACATACTTTGGACATGCTGTAAGGAGGGACAGGTCCTTGGAGAGGGACATCATGCTTGGGAGGGTGGAGAGACAGCACAGAAGGGGAAGACCCTCTATGAGGTGGATTGAGTCAGTGACTGGGGTAATTGGGGTGGCTGTGTCAGAGGCAGTGCGATTAGCACAGGATAGAGCAGGGTTTAGGGCTGTTGTACATAGGGTCGCTATGAGTCGCAAGTGACCCGAAGGCACATAACAACAACAACAACAACAACCAGCAATGTATAAGAGTTCTAATTTCTCCATGTTCTAGGTCATATAGTAAATCTGTGTTTAAGAAACTGCTTATCTTGTACTATTTTGCATGCTACCAGCAGAAGAGATGAATTTTCCCATGTTCTTCACAACACTTTGTCTATTTCAGCCACTGAGTGACTGGAAAGTGGTAATTTATTGTGGTTTTTGTTTGCATTTCTCCAAACATTACCATATCTTTTAATGTGCTTACTGACTCTTTTTCACTTCTTTGAAGAAATGTCTATTAAAATTTCTTGCCTTATTTAATCTGAATTTTCTGTCCTTTTTTGTAATGGTTCTAAGTAAAATTTCATCATCAAACTATATGACTCGCAAATAGTCTCTCCAATCTGTGGCTTGATTTTTCAATTTATTCTTTTTAAAAATTGTAATTATTTCCTTATTCAACTGAACCCATATTATGTAAACAAACAGACATACCTATATTTATAAACCCTGTAACATGTGATAGATAAATACACACAAGTACCTCAGAGATGTGCTGCTATTTGCAGTAGTTTCCACACCAGTACTGATTTCTGTCATAAGGTCTGATAGGGGAAAGTTTTCTGCAAGAAAAGAAGAGCATTACAATTACTGTCTCCCTCAGTTATCCTGAATAAACAGGAAACAAAATTCCCCAATAACACAAACGAGCAATATACACGATGCATTTGCATTTGAATTATGGCGCTGGTGAGGAATTTTTAATATACCATGGATTGCCAGAACAACAAACAAATCTGTCTTGGAAGAGTATTGCCAGAATGCTCTTTTGAACTGAGGATGACAAGACTTCATTTCTTGTCTCCTCAGTCCATACTTTGGACATGTCTTGAGGAGGGTCTTTTCTCTCGAGTGGGACATCATGTGTGGGGGGAAAAGAGAAAGGCCCTCAAGAGAGATTAACACAGTGGCTTTAACAATGGCCTCCAACAGAGCAATGATTCTGGGGGCAGAGGACTTGAGAGCATTTTCTTCTGTTCACTCTAAGTCAGAACTGGCTTGACGCCCGTAAGAACTACTACTCTATACACCCACCGAGAAATTATACCTCAAGAACAATTTAGGCTTTTTGTTTTGTTTTTTCAAATTTTTACTTTATATTGGTTTGCTTACAAAGTGCATATACATTGTGTTTCATATTATTCTTCATTCACATTGGGTTTCATACAATCATTCCCACGCATTATACTTGATAAAATTAACCACCACTGGACTATGCCCACCACTACCCTGTGTTTTCAGGTCCCTGATCGATCTCTCCCATGTCCTTTACTCCCTCCCTCCTCCCAGGGAGAGGCTTTTGAGAGAGCACAATCGGTGGCTTCTGAGAGCTTGACTGGAAAGCAATCATAGCACCTTCCCACAAATTCTGAGCTTTTTAGATCCTAGGCCAAGTTATGTGCTTTTTAAAGTTCTCATGTTGTCTGTGTTCATGAGATCGTATCAGAGCTCTTAAGGACAAATTAACTTTTAACTGTAGATATTCAAGTGCACTTGATTAATCAAAAGATGCGCCATGGAGGGTGGGTGAGTGATGTGTCCCCCTTCCCTTCCCAGAGGTCCTGGGGTGACTGGAACCATGTAGTAGGACCAACTGACAATCAATAATTAACTGGCACCTGGTGTCACATACGAACAGCTAAAGGCTTTACACACACCAGCCTCTCAATGTTCACAACCCTGTGTAAGTGTCCTGGCTATTCCTCCATGAGTATTTTAAGGCTTGGAGCCCTGGTAGTACAGAATTTAACCACTCAGCTACTAAACAAAATGTCAGCAGTCTCTAAACCTGCTGATGGCTCCGCGGCGGGAGAGACCTGGTGACCTGCTGCTGTAAAGATCACAGCCTGGAAGACGTCAAGCAACAGGTGGACTCTGCTCTAGTGTGTCACCACCTGAGAGCACACAATGGTCACAGGTTTAAGGAAATAAGGTGAGTGGCAGAGCTGGGACACAAAGCCAGGTCTGCTCAGGTGCAGTCTCGGGCCTTGGCCACCACACCACGCATTTCTCTTTAAGCTATGGTTACTTTATTTGTAGCCAGTGTCCTTATATATACAGTACCTATATCATCGTAGCGCTCCACCCAGACTACGGAAACTCTGGTCTCAGGTCCAAGGGGAGGCACAGGGCGCCCCTGAGGCAGCTTCTTCATTCTGGAACTGGGACTGAGCTGTATGAGGCAGGGGAAGCAGAAAAGAGGAATGGAGATTAAAAGCAGATTTCAACTACCCAGTCGGGCACAGATCAGGATGGGTGGGTGGGTGTGAGGGTGTGTGTGTAGTGGTTTTGCCAGGTGCTGTCAAGTCGAGTGCAATTCACAGGAACCCTGTGAACAAAAGATCTGCACCCTGCCCTGCCCTGCCCTGAACCGTCCTCACCCTCTGCAACACACTTAAGCCTATTGCTGCAGTCGCTGTGTCAACCCATCTGGCCAAGGGTCCTTCTCTCTTTCGCTGACCCAGGAGTGGGTGCGAGAAACAAAGGGACAGATCATCTGGTGGGAAATCATTTAGGAAAATCATGTGAAATACATTTACAAAGAAGCTCTTCTTTGGTGACCCAGTTTCTTTATTAATCTAACCTAAACCAAGGAAATGAAGGTCTGAAATTGTCAAAGGGAAAAAATAAAGACTATGGAACAATTACAAGAAAATAGCGGTTTACATGCATTTATGCCTTAAAATGAAGGCTTACAAGAATTCCAGGGAGCTCCAGTGGCTTGTGGTAAAGGGCTGCACTAATCCTAAGGAACAAGGTTCAGATCCACCAACTGTCCCTTGGGAGAAACCTGGGCAATCTCCTTCTGTGTGATTTACGCCTCTGAAAACCCCGCTGGAGGGTCTGCTTTGAGTTGGTTCTGACTCAACAGCACTTGACGACCACATAACAATTCCATTCTCTACTTCTATGGCCAGAAAGTAGTATGCTTTCCTTATCACTACTTGCCTGGAAATCCTAAATTTTTAAAATGCTCCTAATTTAAAAAATTCTGAATGCCTAAAATGCTCCCAATCACAAGGTGTCAAACTCCTTGTAAGGTACAAGAAAAAGAGTTGCCCGCACCTTCCCAATCACGGCAGTTTGCTTCCCACCTACTCAGCTTTAATGTTTTGTGGTTTGTTGTTGGTTAGGTTTTTTTTCAAAGCCAGTAAGGATTACGTGACATCCTTTAAGCAAGCCAGCCCAACAGTTACAGGATGCAGCAGAGATGACCATGTACTAAAGCCATAATCAGAACACATGCACATAAAGCAGAGAAACTCTTAATTATGGCGGCTTTTAAAAAATGAAACTGCTTTATTAGCACAGAAATTAATATCTCTTTACCAGGTGATCTGAGGCAAGGCCTCCAGCTTCAGTCTCTAGATTTAACAAAAAATAACTGTGACCAAGATACTTTCCCTTCTTATTAAAATAGCTGAAATGAAAAAGACTAACAAAACCAGTTATTGACAAGGATATGGGGTACCTGGATTCTCAAACGCTGATGTTAGGAAAACTTCTAAATACCGTCTTAAAAAAATGCATACATATACCTATTTTACAACCTAGCCATTTGACTCTTAATTAACCCAGAGAAATTAAAATCTATTTCACATAAAAACTTGTTCACGAATATTCACACCAGCAGGCTTTTTAGATATTGGCAAGGTGCTTATTTAGAATGTTGTTGTTGATTGCCTTTGAGTCGAATACGACTCAAAGCGACCCTATGAAAATGCCTGAAGCCCCTACAACTATCAACATCTATCAAAGTTCATAGAGCTAGAATACAGGGGGAAAAATGCAAATGTTTCTGAACAAATTTGGAAAAGAAAATGTGGACTTGATCTTCCTAACTCTTGAGTTCTTTTTTAAAGTTACAACAATAGAGACAATGCAGACTGGCATAACAATTGACACACAGATCAACGGAACACACCAGAGTTGGAAACAAAGGCGCACCTCACTGATGACAAAAGTGACTGGATTAATAGATTAGTGGCAGTGGCCAGTCACAGCTAAAGACCAGTTTCTTAATAGTATGACAGATTTTAAGATATTCACAGTATCCCAAAAGACTTACTTCTCAATTAATGAATTCTTTTATCTAAACAATAGCAAAGATATGAGCAGTTTCAATTCATTACATATTTGCTCCGTCATAGGTATTATGAAAATATTCTCCATAAATTCGTAATTACAAAAAAAAAAATTCGTAATTACCATTAGCTGGTATCATTAATTTTTAATTTGAATTTTTCTGATAACTAATGAAGATGACGATCTTTTGTATTTATCTGCCAACAGTATATAGCCTTTTCTGAAGTGCCTATTCAAATTTTTTGCCCAATTTTTCAAGATTGAGGTTGTATTAACAGTATATATTACCTCAAGAAATGACATCTTAAAAATACTGATTCTAATGCACACCTATGTTTATTGTGGTTTTGTTCACAACAGCAAAGAGTTGGAAACAACCCAAGTGCCCATGAACAAAAGAATGGGTAGAGAAGCTCTGGTATATTCACACAATGGACTACTACACTGCACTGAAAAACAAGGAACTTGTGCAATATTATACAAAATGGGTGACCCTGGAGAACATTATGCTGAGTGAAGTATCTCGGTCACAAAAAGACAAATACTGTGTACTGCCACTGTTATAAAACGGGACTGACATCTGGGTTGGGGGAAGACTGAGAAAGAGGGGATAAATTATGTATACTGCATTGAAACAGATGAGAGAGAGAACTATTTAAAAGGGGCATATGATTAGGTATTATTGTCAAGTCAAGACAGGAGTCCACAATGAAGGCTACATAGTGGAGTGGACCTGGGGGGAGGAATTGTCACACAATGAAAGAATTTTTCTTTTACTTTTCAAAGAGAAGAGCGAATTGGGAGGGAGGGGTGGAAAGGGAGAAAAGTGCAACAACGAATGAATGGAAACTCTAAATCTCTGTAAACTTTCATTAAAATTAATTAAAAATCAGAGTGAAGGCTGCATAGTGGAGTGGACCTGGGGGGAGGGATTGTATAACAATGAAATAATTTTTCCTTTACTTTTCCAAGAGGGTAGTGTACTGAGGGGGAGGGTTGGGAGGGGAGAAAAGTGCAACAATGAATGAATGGAAATCCGAAGTCTCTGTAAATTTTCATTGACATTAATAATAATAAAAAAATGAATTTAAAAATATTGATTCTAAAAAATATGTATTGATTCTCTGAAACCAAAAATATGAGACCACATAAAAAGTAGAGGCTGAACTAAAATCTTGCATTATCACCTAACACTGACTTGTTCATCTTAAAACTATGAAATCTTTTTAAATATAACAATTGATTTAAAACTCAGTATAATTCAGAAAGTTATACAACTTGATTTTTTTAAATCTTTTTTAAAAAATTAATCTTTCATTTATTTTTTTATTCCCTTGTTGTGTACCATCAAATCGGATCCAACTGGTACAGGCGCCTGCCCCTCCCTCCTTCTCCAGCAGAGCATCTGGTGGATTCGAATCGTGAGCCTTTGGGATTGCAGTGCAGCTTCTTGGCACTAGGTCACCAGAGCTCCCTTAAATCAATTTTTAAAGATAAAAATCTCTCCTATAGCTCTGGTAGCCTAGTGGCAAGAATCTGGGTTGCAATCTCAAAGGCACAAGGTTCAAGTCCACCAACTGCTCACTGGAGAGAGGAGCAATCTCCTCCTGTACCAGTTGGATCCGATTTGATGGTACACCCACCCCACCCCCCAAATAATAAAAAAAAAAAAAAATTTAAAAAATCTCTCCGATAGCGTCTTTCAAGGATATATTTATGTTAAAACCAATTTTCACTATGGAAAAAAGAAAATAAAATTCTTGTCTAGTGGAAGAACAACGTCCGTCAGGCTTACATGTCTTTTGGTTCCCCCCCTTATCTGCTCCAAATCAATGATCTTCTATTCTTTTTATATCATTTATTGTGAAAAATTCCAAATGCAAAGAATTTGAAAAGGCTGTAAAATGCTATATTCCTACTATTGAGAATCTGAAGTTGTTGATATTTTGCCATATTATCTTAAACTACGTATATAATATTTGAAGTATTTGTAAGAGACAAAATGGTGTTTTCACATAAGATTTACACACTAATAAAAGAATCAAGCATATATGAATAGTCAGTAGGAAAAGATTTAAACACTGAAAGACATATTCAAGTTCACTCATCATTAAAGAAGTGCAAATAAAAACAAGGTATTATTTACTCATCATAATTGGGATGGGAGTGTCAGAGACAGTGCGACTGGCACAGGACAGAGTTTAGGGCTGTTGTACATAGGGTCCCTATGAGTCGTAAGCAACTCGACGGCACATAACAACAACATTGGCTACAAGTTATCTCATCTTTTTTTCCTCTACCCTTGAGAAAGCAAGCTGGTTTGGGTTGCTCACTTTTCATTTATAACAACTCACTTTTTTCATTGTGGAGGCGGAGGCAAACTCAGCATTCAATTTTTTTGAAATTTCCTTAACTGCCTCTCCATTTGGGTGTTCTGGAACTACATCCCTATTTCCTCTTTGGACATTGTATATATCGTCATTAAGGATAGATACCTCTGGTTTTCTATTTTCAGTGTAGAATGTTCATTATACTTTATTTCTTTGTCTGGGTCAGTTTCTGAGTGATGTTATCAAGCTAATGCCAGTTTGCTATCTGTTGGCTCTTAGTTCAAAGAATTCCCTTTAAGAGTTCTTGTAGTACTGGTCTAGTTTTCATAAACTCTCTAAGCTTCTGTCTATCTAGAAATGTCCCAATTTCACCACCATATCTGAGGAACAATATTACTGGGTATGTAACTCCTGGCTGGCATTTTTTTTAAAAATTGAATTATGATAGATCTCAATATTTTCAGTTGAGATTTATACAGCTTTGGGTTCACTCAACTTCTTAAATGTGCATTCTGTAATATTTGGGAAATTTTGTACCAACAAATATTCAACAATTTCCTTTGTGCTTTCTTTGGTTTCTTCCTACACTAGAATTCCAATCACACGCCGCTTACTTCTCTGGATATTGTCCTACATAATTTTTTTTTTTTAATTTATTTTATTATTTGTGTGTTTGTACCGTCAAATCACATCTAACTGGTACAGGAGGAGATTGCCCCTCCTTTTCCAGCAGAGCATCTGGTGGATTTGAATTGCGTACCTCTGGGATGTCCGGCAGGAAGCTCAGAGGAGGGGTTAGGCATCTGACTAGCTGAAGTTGGGCACCTCAGAGGACAGCCTCAGACCCCGCAGACCCATCCCATCTTCCCAGGTAATCGAAGACGCCAAACCCCGCGACATCCATTCCAGCCCAAGGGCCTGCAGCCCTCGGGCCAAGAAAAGCCTATCTACACACCAGTTCTACAGGATGCATCACCTTTGATCGGGAAACATTACAACTAAACTTCAGAGACACTGATCCCAACATAAGGAACTACCATCAGCTGATGTGTTTGAAATCACAGAAGCCATGGAAGCTTCATATATAAGTTATTAGATGGAGGGCTGGTGAAAGGGAGATAGATGTGAAGGGAGGGGGTAGAAGTGGATGGGTATCCTGCTGGATGGTGAAGCAGGAAATAAGTGGGTAAAGACGCATGTGAGAAAGGCAGGGACAACACTGACACTAAAGTTAACTCCGCAATAAGGGATATACCTTTAACTTGCTGGTCTGTCTGATACTTCTCTAAATCTGAACATTCACATTGAGACAGACTAGGAAGAAGGATTGGCCATCCACTTCTGAAATAGCAGGCCACTGAAAACCCTATGTACAACAGTCTTGGCACCAGCAGCCAGGAAATTAAAAGGTGCACTGCCATGGGAAAGTCTGCAGTTAGGGACCTCTCCAAAGTGCTGAAGAGCAATGGTATCTCTTTGGAGACTAAGGTGCATCTCATACAGGCCATGGTCTTTGCAATCACCTGTTATGCATCAGAGAGTTGGATAATGACCAAGGAGGATAGAAGGAGAATTGATGCCTTTGAGCTGTGGTGCTGGAGAAGAGTACTGAGAATACCATGGACTGCTAGGAAAACAAATAGATTTGTCCTAGAAAGGGTTAAACCGGGTGGCTCCTTGGAGGCAAGGATTCTGAGGCTCCGTCTAACATACTTTGGACATGTTGTGAGGAGAGACCGGTCCTTGGAGAGGGACATCAAGCTTGGGAGGGTGGAGGGACAGCGCAGGAGAGGAAGGCCCTCTATGAGGTGGATTGATTCAGTGACTGGGATAATTGGGATGGGAATGTCAGAGACAGTGCGATTGGCACAGGACAGAGCGGAGTTTAGGGCTGTTGTACATAGGGTCGCTATGAGTCGCAGGCGACTCGACGGCACATAACACCACCACCACCACCTCTGGGATTGCAGTGCAGCTTCTTGCCACTAGGCCGCCAGAGCTCCCTTGTCCTACATAATTTTTTTTTTTTTGTCCTACATAATTTTTATGCTTGCTTCATTTCTCTGATGGTTCCTCTAACAGATTAGTATTAAAGAATGTGTTCTCCAATTCAGTAATATAATGTTCTGTTTCTTCAATTCTGTTCATTTGTCCTTTCCTATGTGTTTGTTATTTCTACAATCTTAGTCTTATTATTCTGTGAATTTTAATTTGCTATTTTTTGTGCTTATAGTTTTCCATTTATTTTATTTACTTGGACTTGAGTAATTTTTCTGAATTTGTTTTTATATTCTGTGTTTTTCACAATCCATAGCAGATACTATCACTCTTTTGCAATCCTTAAGAGGAAGTTTTAACAAAACTTTTGGTATCAAAGAATTTCTGGTTCCATATTTTGGTTACTTTTTTATTTTTTTTCTTGTCCTGATTTTTTCTGAGAAGGCTGAAATGATTTTCTGTCTTGGCAATGCTGCAGTAGTGGTCTCTTCATATCAGTTTGTTTGGACATATCTGATTTAACTGTGCGGGCGTGTTATGTCAACTGTGAGTCTGGTAATCCTAATGCCTCACCTCCTGTCTTCTGGTGGGTGTGATAGGGGATGGGGATGGGGGTGACTTCTCTGTTCACTGGTTTTGTAGAAAAGCAGAGGGCAGCCTGGGCTGGGGTTGGTTATAGTTTTTAACTGACCAAGTGGAGAAGGAGCCAGTTTTTCAGTCTATGGCCTGATAGGTGATGCTGCAAGAGGTGTATGCATGGATGGATACTGCTGCTGTCTTTCCTATCATCAGTGATATCCTGGTGTGGATAGTTCTGCAGCCTTGGTTTCTCTTGCTGACCAGCCAGCTGTTCAAATTGGTCACACTCTGCACATGGTTCTGTGTTCTTCCTCCTCATTTGATGTTTTCTTTCAGGTTCTTCCTTCAGTTGGTGGTTGAAATCTTTTCTTCCCAAATTCATTCAGGGTTCCAGAATAATCACCCCTATCTGTTATCTTTGTTTTGGGTTTGGATGGCTATTTGTTAAGCCCACAGTTTTACCCAGAAGTCAGAGCCTATACTTCTCCAATCTCCTTCTCAGTCATTTTCCAAAAAGGACTAAAGGTAACATGAAGGGAAAAACAGAAATAAGAAAGAAACAACATCTCCTGATAATCAAAGTATGAAAGCAAAAAGCTCTCTTCCTAGAAGCTGTTGTCTGCCTCCCTTGGTATATTCATCCATGTCCAGGGCCGCTCTAAAACACTACCATCTGGGTAAGGCCAGACTTCTAAAGAACACTGCATGACAGTGATGTGGAATGCACAGCCAACAGTGCACCTTCTGTGCACACTTCAAAGGTCTACCAGAAACCCTGGCTTCAGGAGGAACACATGAGGGCACCAAGCGTACCAGAAATGGCTAAGCCAAGGACAACGGTAAAGGCGGTCTTACTGTGAAGCTATTTACTGTAGGCAAGAAAAAAAGAAAATATGGAAAATTTTATTGAAAACATTAACACAATGAGTGAGAATGATTGTATGAAACAGTATGAAGGAAGGAATGTGTGAAACAAAATGTATAAACACAATGTATATGAATTTTGTATGGAAATTAATACAAAAGAAAAATAATTAAAAATACAGTAAGTAGGAAAAGATAAGAAAACACTGTATATATTAGAATTTCATTAAAAATTTAAGTGTTCACATGCTTAGAAGAATGTTTATCTTTGCATCAGAGTGCTAAAAAATTAAAAAGAATCCTATTGTGATAAAATTGCATTACTTATTCAGAAACATATAAATAAACTGATTTTTTAAAGAATGAGTCACAGCTGACTTGAGTTTTCAGAGGCTGTAAATTAAATAGGAGATTGCTCATCGTTCTTTTGTGAAGGAGCTAGTGGATTTGAACTACTTGTCTCTAGGTTGCTAGCACAATTCCTTATCCATTAGGTCACCAGAGCTCCAAAATGAATCAGTACTTGCCTGTAATTACTCTGCAGGTTAAAGCTGAGCAGCTTTTCTCACATGATTCTGTAATTATTCAATTTCATTACAAATTTCTGGAGATCTAACAACAAAATGACTTACCCTCTGTGAAGAATTAAGATTGTCTGTATGATTGGGGAAAAGCTCAAGTGTCAGAGATGGCTGTTTTAGAATTCCTGGCATAAGATCCATATTTGAATCACTATCTTGGTCCGAGATGTTACTTTCTAATGAATCAGCTAGAAGTAAAAAATGGAAAAAATATTATAATACCTATTACTACTACTCTAGAGTAAAGGTGTTTAAATTATGTGAATTCTACTCTAAGCTAAGTCACTTATATAGAGTCCTGCCTCCAGAACAAGAGCTGATCAACCTTTTCTGTGAAGAATCAGGCCAGAAAGACTTAGATTTTATCATACAGGTAACATTCCTTTTAAAAAAACAGGTTGACTTTGGTCTGTGGCTTGATTTCCTAGCTCCAGTTTTAAAGAATAACTGAAATCAGATTAGAAAATACTTGACTTCTTAGATCTAAAATAAGCTAAGTATTTCCTAGTCTGATTTCTGTTATTCTTCAAAAGGTTTTGATTAGAAATTGAATCATGTAGCACTTTAGCAAGCAGGCACCAGGGCATCCAAAAGCTACAGAGGACCTAATCCTCATGAGGAAGGCACGATCTGGTTGGAAACAACAACACACAACTACAAAAGAAAAAAATTAGGAGGAAGCTGAGTTGGAATGGGGTACAAGTGGCGTAATGGCATACTTTTTTAAGAAAAGTAAAGGTTCTCAGCAAAATAAGACCTTCAGTTTAGATAAAAAAATAATTATTGGGGGGGAGAGAAGTGCAGCAATGAATGAATGGAAATCCAAAATCTCCGTAAATGTTCATTAAAATTATTGAAAAAAATTATTGAAATAAAATTTAAAAAAATAATTATCAGTTTTCATCCTAAAAGTCTTGAGTGCCTTTTTTAGGCTTGATACGGTTTCTTCCACTCAGTGTTAGGGATCAGTCACCTATTATTATAAAATCCTTTAGTCATAGGATTCTATGTGATTCTGTATAAAGGCTCTCATGTGGAAAGAAGAATACATTCATAATTTTAAAAAAATCAACTGGTTGGAAAAATATGGCTTCTATGTATTAAGATATTTAGGTTCATGAAATACCAAAGAGATATAAGAGGGACTGTTTCAATAGTTAAAAATCATTACTGATTCAGCCTGCTTGTCTTTAACTACTTCTCACAAGTTAATCTTTCCATAATCTATCAGACACTAACAACGCCTTTGAAATTTCTCCCAATGCAATAATACTGCACAAATCAGTGACAGCTAAATGACGTCCTAATATAACACCACACAAGAATGCTCTTACTTAAGGACTCCACATGAGAAGGAACCACAAAAGCTATTTCCGTAAGGGCATCAGCATAATACAGCACCTTCTTCTGTCCATTGAAAATGCTGGCCCCAATATCTTCAGAGGCAATCACTTCATCTAGGAATGAGAAACACTGCTTCAAAAAGTGCAAAAATCCCATATCATGTCAAACTTTTTATTTCATGGAATTTTAAATGGTTAATAAACAGCAATAGTAGAAGGTTATGTTTTAGATTAATACTAATAAGAGTGTGTGAAGGTGAAAAATTTAGGATACTGAAATAATAAAGTCTTAATTTGAAATCATAAAGTCTTAATTTCATATTCTGGAATTTTCAGTTACATAACGCAGTTAATGTCCTTCAAAAGCTAAATGCCAGTTTCTGTTATTTGCACTCATAAACAACCAATTCTATTCATCAGAATGAAAAATATGCCCATTTTTTATACGAGTGTTTCTATCTTTAAGCTATGGGATCTTGGCAGACCGGCCTTCAGGTATTCAAGTTCATGTTAAACGGGATGTAAAAATAAAAATTATAGTACACCCCCAATGATTTGATTCTGCCTTGGTTAAAATGTAAAGAAACTACAGGTCACCAGTGACAACAATATTTAATAGGTAATCCTGAGAAAAAACCAACAACTCTTATCATTTAAACCATTAGACTTACATGCTACCTTTCTCAGAGAGAATATTAATTTTAGTGACCTCAGGAGCTCAAGGAACAAAAAATCGTAAGTAATTATGGTCACAGGCCCCAAGTTTACATTCTAATTGCCATGGTACCTGTTATCATGATTAAAGTTCCTTAGGAAGATTCACAGAGAAGGGCAAGAATCTCTCAGAGGTGGTCATTATTTACCACAAATGCCTTTTACGTCGTATTACAACAATATTAACTTTTAACTGGGAATCAATGGCCAGAGCCGATAAAACATACTTGTTTAAAAAAACTGTATTTGTTGGATAAACTATGCTCATTAGGGAACTTTTTTAGTTGTTATAGATAATCTACATGTATTAGAATATTTTCATAGAAAATGGAACTTGTTCTCTCACACTTAAAAAAAGGAATTTATCAATCTTGTGATAATTAAGCCATTATTTTTATATTAATTAACCCCATCATTTTCTAGCAGGAATGGCATCCACTTTCTAAACAACATGCCTCTAGAAACTCTATGAACTTTGATAAATGATGACAGTTATAGAAAGGCTTCAGGCCTTTTGTTCATACGGTTGCTATGAGTTGTGCTTGATTCGATGGCAATCAACACAACATTTTCCATGTATCACACACAATGAAGATGTCTAGAAGAACATACAATTATTAAGCAACTCCCAATGATGACTGGGATTAGAAGAGGGAGAGTTTTCCTTTGCAAACTGTTTGGGTTTTCTTTTTAGTAAGGCTAAAAAAACCTCATAGTAAAGAGGGAAAATCTTGAGTAACACAAAGTAAGAAAAGAATAAGGGATCATTAGGAGTTTTACCTTGTTCAGATCCGTCACCATCATCGCAGCTGTTAATAGACCAACTGGTGGAAACATGGCCGGTCCATCCAGGGTGTCTGCCTATATCTACTGACCAGCCAAGGGAGAGCAAAAATTCGAGGAAGTGGGGCTGAACAGTTCTTGAAGATTCTACATTCTTTAAAATCTGAAATACATATCAAGAATCAGCTATAAAAAAGGAAGAAGAACATAAATCCAAACAAATCTGCACTGGTTAGCTTTGAAGCTTTTGATAAATTAAGTCCAAGTTAGAAAATATAATAGACTAAAATACTGTTGTTCAAGAATTCAAATTAAGACAAATTTGGGTTGCAATCCTGGAGGAGGGATTGGTCAAACTTCTTAATCTCATTAAATCCCCAGTTTTTCATCTGTAAAATGGGAACAAAAAGGACTATGAAGATTAAATAAGTTACACTGTAAAATGCTCCGTTCTTTCCCTAGCAAAACACTCTGGAACTAGACACACACATGCAAAAACCAAATCAAGTGCTACTGAAATGTATCTTAACTCAGGGCAACTCCCTGAGTGGGAGCAGAATTGTGCTCCAAAAGGCTTTCAACAGCTGAGTTCTGGAAGTACCTCTCCAGATCTTTCTTGCAAGGCTCTATGGGTGAATGCAAAAGCAGGTATGTCAATGGTCTGGACCACTCAGGAAGGCCAGATGCAATACTAAGCAACAGAAAAATCACAACATCCCCATCTTCAAAGAATTTATTAAGTGGTTAATGACAGAGAATCACTGTATACGTGAGTAATTAAATTACTAAACGTGATAAAAATCTGTAAGAGAAAACTATAGGCAGTAAATATTCAATAAAGAATAATAAATTAATTTTAAAATATGTTTCTTTGCCCAAGAAGAGAACAACAAATACGCATCCACTTCCGTAATAGCTTGCCTGCGGAAACCCTATGAACCTGGAGAGAGGATGAAAGACATACAAGGGTTGAGGATTCTCCTTCAAAGGGTTGCTATGAGTCGCCTGCAGCTCAACGGCCCTTAACAACAACAACAGTGCCACTGAAGTGATCTGAAGGTTCCTTCCTCTCAGTAAATGAAATACATGGGCTGGCTTCCTAACGGCTTCAGAAAGAGCAGTCCCTTACTCTAAAACAGTGGTGCTGAACCGGTGGTGACTGTGTGTCCAGGGGACAGACAGCCTGCAGCACCTGGAGATGCTGCTGGCTGTCAGACCTGGTGGAGTGCTATGGTAACTAGTGTGGACAGCCCAGTGCTGCTACTGAACACTACCATCCACCGTACACCTCCCCCAGTTAACAGCTAGCTCCAAATGTCAACAGTGGGTTTCTGGAAACCACTGTTCTAAAGGAAGGCAGAAAGAGAAATTCTCCCAATTAAAAAAGGAGGGAGGGAGGGAGGGAGGAAGGACAGACTAACTCCCTATGCCCATTCTAAGGAGCTCTGGTGGCACAGCGCATCATATGCTGTGCTGCCAACCCAAAAGTCAGCAGTTTGAACCTACTGGCTACTCCACAAGAGAAAAAGGCCATCTCCTCCTCCAGAGATTTACAGCCTCAAAAGCCCAACTGAGGGCCAGTATGAATCAGAATCAACAGCAGTGAGTTTGTTACTGGGGGTATGCCTATTTTTGTCCTTCTGTATCAGAATGTGTAGAGGTAAGATCCTGAAATCACCATTTTTAAAAGATCTTCTAAAAGACAAGTCTACAGACCACTAGGTTTCAGGTTTGGGAACCACTGAAGCAGTCCACCAGTGCTCATCAATTCTGTCAAGACCTGTTGGAGTCAAACTGAGTAAGTAGCACACAATCCATCCAGCAACACTACTGTGCCTAAAATCAAAGCTACTGCTGTCAAGTCAGTTCCAACTGGCAGAAGGAGATCACCCATTTTTAATTCCCAAAGAGTGGCTGACAGATTTAAATTACTCAACTTTCAGGCCTCAGCATGACACATTATGCCACCAGGGACTCTTACCACCATGTCATCATCTCTTAAGCACAGAATCAGTGTCTTCTGAAGTACAACTATCTAGTTCACTTGTACATCTTCATGATCTAATAAGGGCCAGCAGACAGATTTGAGAGCCAATTCTAGCTTTTACATCCCAATTTTTATTTAGAAGTAAAATAAAAACAATTTTACATTTTAGACAAGAAATTATATATATATGTCAAATGTCAACTCCTATGCCACCTGCTAACAGCCAAGAATGAACCTAAATCCACCCCGTCATAAAAAAAGGCAATTTCCAGAAAACTTAGTTGTGAACATGTATAACCTGTACAAAGACCAAGAAGCAGTCATTTCACCCAAACAAGGGTTTGCGGTATAGTTTACAGTCAGGAGAGGTGTGTGTCAGGGATGTGTCTCTTCACAATACTTAATCTGTATGCTGAGCCAATAACCGAAGTGCTAGACTATATGAAGAACAGGACATTGACTGGAGGAAGACCTAACAAGCTGCAATACACTGATGACACAACTTTGCTTGCTGAGGTAAAGGAGACTTGAAGGACTTACTGATGAAGATCAAAGACTGAAGCCTACAGTATGAATGGCATCCCAACGTCAAGAAAGCAAAACACCACAACTGCTCCAACAAGCAACACCCTGATAAATGAAGACTAAAGCTGTCAAGAATTTCATTTTACTTGGAAAAACAAATGACACTCAGAGAAACACTCAGAGTCTATCTGCTGTGTAAGACTTTTCTCAAGTGTTAAGAACAAAGACGTCATCTTGAGGGGGAAAAAAGCACATGCCTGACTCGAGCCTCAAATACACGCAAAAGCTGAATAATGAGTAAGAAAGAGAAAATGACTGATGCCTTTGAATTATGATGCTGATGAAGAATGAAGACGATACAAGGACTGCCAGAGGGCAAACAAAATCGTTTTCAAAGTATGATCAGACAGCTCTTTAAGGAGATGGTACGACAGTCTTCTGTACTGTGGGCCAGTTATCAGGGGGAACTAGCCCCTAGAGAAGGCACCAAGGTTGGTCAAGTGGAAGGTCAGCAAAAAAGATTTTCAATGACATGTGCTGTCACAGTGCCCGCAACAAGAGGGATAAAAATGAGAACAAGGATGCCACCCAACAGCAGAGTTTCATTCTTCCGTACACAGGGCTGCTATGAGTGAGAAAGGACTTGGCGCTATCTACCAACAATCTTGGGACAAGGAAAGGCACATCCCTGTCATTCTAACAGAGGTCCCAGAGCATCTTCATTGTTTGCTAGCCATCCTCAGCCCTTTAAACCGGAAGGAAACCAAGATGGTTTAGGAGTTGCCTTTAAGGTTTGTGTCCTCTCCTTTTACAGGCAGGAGAGAAATGGACACCACTCCACTCCACCTCCTGCCTCCCCCACCCCATCCCGCTTTGAATCAGACGCTAAAATTTGCTTCAAAACAGAACTCAACTCATTTAATTAACCCAGTTTTACTGAGGTCCTTTGAAAAACTGTAGGGGTCTCCTAGTCTTACCCCTGGCTACTAAATTCACCCTCACTCAAATTCATGCATATTGGACCCCATAACGAACTTCCCTCAACTTGACAAAACTATAATTCTCTTATCTCTGCGGCTTTCGCACATGTTACTGTTTTGTCAGTAACAATATGCTTCTGTCTTTTGACCCATCTCCAACACAAACCCTGAATACTTGACTGTCTTGTCCTGCAGGATGACTTCTTAAACCCAGGTTACGCTTTCCTGTTATGGTTCCTGTAACGTGGTTAAAGCTCCCAGTATCACAATATACCAGGGCCACTTATTTAATCATGTTTTCCTCTCCAGACATTAGTTCTAGGAATCCAGACACCTTACAGATCTTTTTTATCATTAAAACTCTAGCATGTAACAGAATACAAATAGTTATCAATATTTATGGGATCAGTGCTATAAAATGAGAGAAACTTCCTCATAAATCAGTCTTTCTCTAGGGCCTCACCAATAATTATAAATAGTGAATAGTTATAAGTAAACATAAACAGTGAATGTTGTTGTTGTTATGTGCCGTTGAGTCACCTGCGACTCATAGCGACGCTATGTACAACAGCCCTAAACTCCGCTCTGTCCTTTGTCAATCGCACTGTCTCTGACACTCCCATCCCGATTATCCCAGTCACTGAATCAATCCACCTCATAGAGGGCCTTCCTCTCCTGCGCTGTCCCTCCACCCTCCCAAGCATGATGTCCCTCTCCAAGGACCGGTCTCTCCTCACTACATGTCCAAAGCAAGTTAGACGGAGCCTCAGAATCCTTGCCTCCAAGGAGTCACCCGGTTTAACCCTCTCCAGGACAAATCTATTTGTTTTCCTAGCAGTCCATGGTATTCTCAATACTCTTCTCCAGCACCACAGCTCAAAGGCATCAGTTCTCCTTCTATCCTCCTTGGTCATTGTCCAACTCTCTGATGCATAACAGGTGATTGCGAAGACTATGGCCTGTATCAGACGCACCTTACTTAGTCTCCAGAGAGACACCACTGCTCTTCAGCACTTTGGAGAGGTCCCTAACTGCAGACTTTCCCATGGCAATGCGCCTTTTAATTTCCTGGCTGCTGGTGCCAAGACTGTTGACTATGGAGCCAAGCAAACTAAAGCTGTGTACAATCTCAATCTCTTCACCATCCATCCTGATGCTGCCAGTTGGTCCAGTGGTGAGAATCTTTGTCTTCTTGACATTGAGCCTCAATCCATATTGTAGGCTGCAGTCCTTGACACTCTGCAGCAGGTGCTTCAGGTCCTCCTCAGTTTCAGCAAGCAGGGTTGTGTCATCCGCATAACGCAGATTGTTGATAAATCGTCCACCAATCCTGACCCCACATTTCTCCTCATAGAGCCCAGCCTCCCGGATAATCTGTTCTGCATAGAGGTTGAAAAGGTATGGAGATAGGATGCATCCCTGGCGTACGCCCTTCCCAATTTTGAACCATGCAGTGTTCCCTTGCTCTGTTCTGACGACTGCCTCCTGGTCCAAGTATAAGTTTCGCATTAGAACGATCAAGTGTTCTGGGATTCCCATTCTTCTCAGAGTCAGCCACAGTTTGTTATGATCTACACAGTCAAATGCCTTTGCATAGTCAACGAAGCACAGATACACATTCCTCTGGTATTCCCTGCTTTCAGCTAAGATCCATCTAACATCAGCTACAATATCTCTAGTACCACGACCCCTTCTGAAACCAGCCTGGACTTCTGGTAGTTCTCTGCTGATGTGCTGTTCCAGTCGTTTTTGGATAATTTTCAGTAAAATCTTGCTTGCATGTGAAATTTTACTGAAAAATAGTGAATAGTTGTAAGTAAACATTTTATGGTCTTGGTAAACTTCTTAAACAATCTCAGTTTGATTAGCTAATTGTTTGGATTACAGTCCAATTCAAGAACATACAGGAAGGCAGTCCTGGTGCCCTACACATCTCAATACTGTCTGTTATTTTAGATCTTCCTCTGGCCCTTGATTAGCTATAATTGGTAACTGACTCCCCATTCCAACAGAAAGTTTCATTTCCCTGCTATTGTTTTCCACTCCTAACTTACCTCTGCTGTTAAACTTGTCCAAATGTGTTTTACTTTGTCTTCTGTATGTATGCTTTATTTCAGGTGTTATTTTCTCCATTAAGCACTGTGCATGCGTCTACAGAAATGGTTTGTTTATGGAAGTATTTGTCAACTGAGCTCCTCAAGAGGAAAGACTTATTATTCACTCTGACACAAACCGAGGCCCAGGGAAGATGTTCAGTAAAAGTTTTCTATTGTAATACTCTTCTTGGGTAATCATGCCTAGCTTTAGATTTTTGTGTCTGGTGAACTTTATATTTGAGTTTCCTTTGGAATTTTAAAATTAATTCCTTAAGGGTAATAAAGACATGGTACAATTCCTTTTTAAAACATACTCCTTAAAGGTCAAAAGAATTATAACTTGAAGCATCATAATTTATTAATTTTGTTTCTGGACTGGTTAATAACAAGGATTTAAGCATTTAAAACCCTTCCTAAACCAGTTAAGTATAAACCATGGAAAATTTTTTATTTAGTTATGAAAAAGCCACCAATAAATACTTCCCAAATTCTTACCTCTTGATTTGTCTTCTGACCTGGCTTCATATAGAAAATAAAAACTGTGTCAAAAGGACGACACGGCAAGAGATCCAGATACCCAATGTCATCAAAAAATCCAGGTATCGTGGAGTCAAGTGCAATAAGGTGAGGAGGTAGACGGCTATTTGCAGGTTCCTACCAGTGAGAAAAAAGAATTATCAATTCTATTCATTATCCTAATTATATAAGTAATAGTTACATGTGGCTGAATAAGAATCAAGTAAAAAAATTATAAATACTCTCTACACCCAAAATAAATTATTTTAAAAAACACATCTCTTTTATTCAGTATTTCTATTTATTTGCAGTTTTTGTCTTTATTGTTGCTAAAAAAACAGATGCGACATCTCAATGGGATGCACTGCTGAGCTGGCACCAGCTCACTGCCGACGCTCCAGCTGACTGTCAGAGGTGGTCAATCACACGGGAGGAGAACGCTCATCTTTCTCCCACTAGGGAGCTGCTGGACTGCACCTTTCAGCTGGCAGCACAACTCCCTACACACTAGGCCACCAGGATTGCGACACAGTGTATGTATATTTTGAATCCTATTTTCTTTAATGTGGTTTCTGGAACATCTATATGCTCTATGTATATATATGTACATTAAATTTTCAAAAGAACATGTTTTGTTTTATTTTCCCCCAACCTCTTAACTTTTCTGAAATTCTGATCTTGTCAAACAAGGTTCTGCACCATCTTACTTCTTCAGGAAAATATCCTCCTGAGATGGCAAAGATTATTGTTTTCTATGTTGAGATGAATTGTAATGGGAAAGTCAGCTGTAAGGGACCTCTCCATAGTACTGAAGAGCAATGATGTCAGTCTGGAGACTAAGGTGTGCCCACAGTCTTCACAATTGTTTGCTATGTGTAAGAGGGCTGGACAATGACCAGGGACGATAGAAAGAGAATCAGTGCCTTTGAGCTATGGTGCTGGAGAAGAGTGTCAAATATACCAAGGACCGCCAGGAAAAAAAACAGGTTCATCCTAGAAAAGGGGAAGCCGGGCTGCTCCTTGGAGGCAAGGATTCTGAGGCTTCGTCTGCCATACTTTGGGCATGATACAAGGAGGGACTGGTCCTTGGAGAGAGACATCATGCTTGGAAGGGTGGAGGAGTGGAGAAAGAGAGGGAGACCATCTATGAGATGGATTGAAACAGTGAGTAGGGTAATGGTGGTAGGTATGTCAGACAGTAAAGTTGGCACAGGATAGAGCAGGTTTCAGGGTTGTTGTACATATGGTTGCTGTAAGTTGCAAGCAACTTGACGGCACATAACAACAATACGCTGCCATGAACTGTGGGTCTGGTTTTCTAGTCTTTCACATAATTTTGCTAGCAGGAGTTGGAGTAATATCCTATAACCAAAGACAATAATATTTCTACAATTAAACAGAAGGGTACTCACACTATATGAAATAAGGAGAAGTGACAAATGGCCTCATGTCATCATCAATTCAGGTAAATTTTATTATTACATGGATTTACCACAAAACTTACCCAAACAAAAAATCTGCTTTATAGTGTATTCATTTTGAAATCATAGACAAGAAATTGTGGATGTGTCACAAGCTGTAAAGCTGTAACACATCTTGTAAGGCAAAGCTTTCTCATTCTTAAATTTCTCCTCTGGGTCTTGCAGTGAGTTTCTCAAAGGTAATTTTTATCAATATCACAGTATTTGAATTGTATTTTTAAACTAGATATTTCAAGTATATTAGTATTTTTGTGTAAAGATACCATTCTTTCATTTATTTTCACTATTGTATTGACTTTTTATGGCTTTCCAACTAGAAATCATATTCCGTGTAGCCTGTCTCCTTCCTTCTATTATTTCCTACTTCTTATTTGGTTTCTATATTATTTCACTGATTTTCCTGGCTTTGATACTGTGTATGCTATGTAAGATGTTACAATTCTGGGAAGCTGGGTGAAATAAAACTTCAATGTATATGTCTTGGGCAATTTCCTATTAACCTAAAATTATTTTAAAGTAAGTTTAAAAACATCCATGACTGAAAATTTGTGTTAAATAGTTAATGCAGAAATTCTCTGATTAACCAGGGTGACTATAGCTTTCCCATAACTGTTATTTAGAGTAATCTTTAATTTAAAGAGCTGGCATATTATCTAGCTCTGCCTAAGTGGTTAATTTTAAATCAGAATTAATATTGTTTTACTAAAAATTAATCTGTTTACTTGACCCAATCTTCTAATACAAGGACTAAACTACTTTTCTATATAGCTTTACTAATACTAATGAACTCTTCTTGAATTCTTGGGATAAACTTTATTTGGTCGTAGAAGATAATTTGCTTAATATGTTAATGAATCTGATTTTACTAGAATTCTCTTGAACAGTTTCATAGATACATTCTTAACTAAGATTAGTTAATAGTTTATAATATATGTATGCTTTCAGGTTTATTAGATATGTTGAGATTTCTAAAATAAACATTCTATGCTGTCAAACAGGTTAGAAAACTCTATTTTCATAAAAGCTTAAACATTTCAACTAAAATAGGTAACATGAATGGAAAATTACAAGCAGGCTACTAAGTCTGTCTCCCTACAATCCACAGGATGGAACTGTTTTCTTCTTGTGTATTTTATTTACTGTTTTTTTCTATTTTGTTCTAATTTCTTCACTAGGATTATTATTACTCTTTACAGATTGGATCTTTTTGTTCCTGCCTTACTATTTATGATTCTCCTTATTGTCCTCCTCTAGCTGTTTCCCCCCCCCCCCGCATTTTAAGGCAGTGTTTATGTGCATACTCCTCATCATGAAGTTCATATGCAAGATCTATTTCAAAATTCTTACTCTTTATTTTCCTTCAACATGCTAAAATCCAAATCGGACAGCAATGCTCTCCTCACCCTTAAGTGGCCTATGATCAGGTAGATGCGAGGGAGTTAGGGCAGGTAACAACTCCTACAACAAGCAACTTCTGCCTAGCAATTTTCAGTTGTGCTTCTCAAAACAAACAGGCCTTAGTACAAACCCCAGATTCACCTTCAGGCAAGTTATTTCACATTTTTGAGCCTGTTTCCACTTCTGTAAAACAAGGATAGTATCACTTTCCTTGCAAAGTAGTTTTAAGGATAATGGTCTTTAGAGTAATAGTAATAATCATTTTAACAGACAGTTCATTTTGTGTTAATCTTACACATATTAACTCTGGTCATGAGATGGATATTGTTACCATTCCCATTTTACAGATGAGGCACTACAATTCAAAAAAGTCAAGTAACTTGCCCAAAACTACACACTGGCAAGTATTGATACCAGGACAGAAGCCTAAGACACACGACTGTACACAACATAAGATGTGTCCATCTCACAAATACTCCTGTATTAACTCTACCCTTTAAAAAACTGGCATGAAAAAGTGGAATCCATGGTACCTCACACACTCCATAATAAAGTCTACTAGTGGAAATTCTTAAAACATTCTTTTTCTTATTATGTGTGGATTTAATTTTTGTGTGATATATGTCCTATACTACCAAGGAAATTCAGAGCTGGACATACCAGTAAAGCTCCCTTGGAAGGAATTCTGAACGCATTAATAGGATGAACTGCCTTTGCACTAGTACCACAACCTACACAAGTACATAGCTTCATTCATTTGCACATAAGGTGATTTTAACCAGCTTATGTTTGGTTTGGTGTTTTGGTTTGTTTTGTTTTGTTTTGTTTTAAATTGTTTCTGTCCTTATAAAATACTTTAGCACAGTGTTAATGCATGATTATATTTACTCGTAGAAGTTTATGAAAATTACCTTCAATGCTTCTAACGATAAGAATCCAAAGTGTGAAAGGAAAAGGCGTGCTGTTTGGAATTCCTGTGCAGGAGGTGGGGGCTTACAATCTGTAATTGGATCAGGAAAAGTTTTCTTCCGCAATTCCTCCTCACTTTGTTGTTCAAGGTGCATTTCATAAGCAATCTGCTGAACCATGCCATTTCTCAATTTTTCATGTCTCTCTTCTAACTGAAATAAACCAAGACCTTTAATTTTCCAAATGCTTACAATAAGGTCAATCTTACTCTTAAATTAAAACAATGCTACATGCAACAAAATAAACTACATAATTGTCAATTATCAATACATTACAGAGTATCAAACTTAAGCATGCTTCAAAGTTACAACAATCCATCTTGTTATAAATATCAAACTTTCATGCTTCCTTTAAACATACAAGAAAGGGCAGAGTTGTTGCCACCCAATCCCCTCCCTGAGCAACTTCCCCATCACTCTCTACCTTCATCTTGGTGTCACTCCCCATCTGTGCTGATTACTGGATATTCATCCCTACTTGTTCCTCCTTCTCCAATCAACCCCAACTGATTGCATGAGAATTCTATCCTCTTTGTTGAGCAAAAGCAGCTCCAGTGGTGCAGTGCACTACGTGTTTTGCTGCTAACCAAAAGTCAGCAGCTGGAACTGACCAGCTGCTCCATGGGAGAAAGACGGGCAATCTCCATCCATTCTGATTGGCAGCTTCAGAAATCTGAAGGATAGCTAGGAGTGAGAAGCAACTAGATGGCAGTGATCTGACCACTTGACAACATTTCTAGAAAACTCTTTGTCTGTCAGCTCTACCGTGATTTTAGGTGCTACAATTCTGAGGTCTTTTCCAACAGCTCTCCCACACCTTTACCCTTGAACCCAAGTTTTACCACCAGGTCTCTCCCCTTATTTTCCCAGTCCATCAGCATGTTTTCATCCCAACCAAGCCCCAAACCTGGTATCTCAACATCAATCCACCTTTATCAATCTTTACACAACTCAAATTCTTTACTTATGTCCTCTGATCTCAAAAAGCTGATTCTGAAGAAATGAGAAGGTGTTTAAGAACTTTCCTATGGATGATGCTACTGGGTTCGCCGTAATGTCTGGTAATTTTTAAGAATCATCTTTAATTACTTTTACTTTGCTAAAGAACCTTACGACACAGTGTTAAAATGCCTCACTACTAATCAGAAGGTTAGTAGTTCAAACCCAGCAGCTACTCTATAGACAACAGTCTGCTTCCATAAGATTTCCAGCCTTGGAAATTCTATGGTGTGTTCTATAGGTTCGCTATGCATGACTCAGAACTGACTCAACAGCAGTGCATTTAGGACATGGTAAAATTCAAATTTGGATAAGTTAAACCAGGTGGCTCCTTGGAGGCAAGGATTCTGAGGCTCCGTCTAACATACTTTGGACATGTGAGGAGAAACAGGTCCGTGGAGAAGGACATCATGCTTGGGAGGGTGGAGGGACAGCGCAGCAGGGGAAGGCCCTCTATGAGGTGGATTGATTCAGTGACTAGGATAATCGGGATGGGAGTGTCAGAGACAGGGCGGTTGGCACAGGACAGAGCAGAGTTTAGGGCTGTTGTACTTAGGGTTGCTATGAGTTGCAAGCGACTTGACAGAACATAACAACAACAACAACTCCAGAAATAAGCTATTTCACAATCACCTGAACTCTTGACCCCACTGCCTCCAGGGTCTTATCTATCACTTCTATCATTCCTGGATGGTTAAGGAGAACAGGAAGGGAGAGGTGAGGAAAAACGAAATTAACAGGCAAGTCAGGTGAAAGGAAAGACAACATACAAGAAAGGGTTGATCTGACACTGTAATTAATGAATCACCTGAAATTGATGCTATAAAACAAAGTGTATAAATGATTTGATGAAAAATCATGATTTGTAAACTTTTTTAATTTGTAAACTTTTTATCAAATAAATAAAAAAAAAAAATGAAGGTCTTTCATAGTCCTTAACCTCTTCAGCATTTGACAGTGTAACACTTTAGTCCTTACTTATACTTTCTCATTCCTTGATCAGTCTCAATTCTTAAAATTCTTCCTTGTCTCAAGAGGGCAATGTATTGATAGATAGCTTTGGAAGGGAAATGAACCTAAAATCCTTTCACCTTAATCACCGCATTTCTGTGAAGACATCAATACCTTCCTTGTACTCATGCTCAAAATCTAATATTGTACTGCTTTTTTCCTTCCCTCATCAACCCAAGACTGACTGGACCTATCTCCTATAGAGTTCACATATGTAAGCTAGCTCCACCACTGAAGTTGACCTTCCTCTCTCCTACCTGGGTTGCCACAGTCGTCTCTGAACTAGTCTCTCTTTTCTAAATCTCATTCACTACAGAGTCTGATCGTGTCACCACACTATTGATATCCATGGACCACAGGGAGCTCTGGAAGCCTATTGGTAAGAAGCTTTGCTACAATCCTGAAGGCACGCATTCAAACACACCAGCTGCTCCACAGGAGAAGGATAGGCTATCTCCTTCTGTGTCACTTTACTGCCTCTGAAAACCTGCTGGAAGGGCATCCATGAGTTTGGTTTTTACTTGACAGCATGCAACAACAACTCACCCATGGACCAAATCAGGCAGCCCAGTGAAACCCCAGAGACATGTTTAACATGGTAATCTCCTAGATGATGGAGATCCATGTCACCCTTCTTTTCAATCACCTCCAAGTAATCTAATGTGTTTTGACCATAGAAGGCGTCTAAAGCCTGTTGCAGATTAAAGTCATTTACAATCATAGTGACCACACTGATGAACATAAATTCCTTTAAAATTTCCTATGAGAGGAAAAAGACCATCACTCTTCTCTCCCACAGAGCTGATGGGGAGTCCAAACCACTGACTTCCCAGTCACAGTTGAGTATTTAATCACATGACATGCAGGCTTTTATGGTAGTCATTTAAAAATGTTTACATTCATTTCCTCAATAACACCACAAAAACAGTTGAGCTTACTTCTTCAGTGACGATTTCATGCAAATCTGGAATGCTCAGATCTGCTTTCACAAAAGGAATCTTGTCTACCTCTTCAGGAAATGGTCGATGTTTCACAGTATATTTAAATCCAACATCATTTTTAGGAACTGGGCGAGGTTCAGGAACAAAAATCTATTAAAATAAAACAAGTAACATATTTATTACATATGGTCCCATAGTCACTTGGAAATAGTACGCATTTCCCTGGTCTCTCAGATGCTTGTGTTCCTAGCATGTCATGTGGCATAAGAATTTAGTAAGAACCTGCAAATGTCTGGGCACCCTGAAGCTAAGGAGAGTGGAAATCACAATAACGTGCATCATGTTTTTCTCTCATCCACTTCTCCGGTCTTTTTCAGCAGTGTTCTCCACACTTAGGTTTCTCCCATTTCCCAGAGATCAAAGTCGATTAGATATGTGGTAATGGTTTGAAAATTGGCCTTTTACTGAGTATGATGACACACTAAACCAAAGTATGCAGAATAAATATCAGATACTCTAACACATGAGATTTCCAATTCAGTCTCACCACAAGGGCTACACTTTAGTTAAGTCTACTATAAAAATACTCATGAATTTACTATAGATTCCAAGGCTGAGAAATGGGGTGCAGTGCTCTACTGCCCCAGCTCTGAATCTCCTGCACTCAGCGGTAAGTCAATGGATAAGCTGACTCTGGAGCTCAGGGACCAAATTTCCTTCTTTCCCAAAGGCTCTCAAGCAGTCTACAAAACACAGTACAAGTTTAGTGCCCCTGAGTATTTCTATAAAGTGAGTTCAAGTACAGCTTTAGCAAGGCATCAGTGAAAGAGTACAGGCCCTGGATCTAGGTCTGCAGTTTTAAATTCTTGTTTTAATATACATTAGCTGTATGATCTCGCTTTCATATCTGAAATCATCTTTCCATTGCGAAGATATATAGAAATAAATCATATAAAACAATCTGAAACGGAGTCCTGTTACCATAGGCATCTGGGATCTAACTAAATTTTTTCATCTGTAATTGAGTACTTTACTTTTAATATATTTAACATTGCATGAAAAAACTGAGGCTCCTGTTCAGAACAGTCATTCTTAATCATACATGGGCATAAGGATCACCTTGAAAGCTTGGTGAACATGCCTGGAGCATATCTTTCTTGAGTAAATCAGGAGGTCTAGAATTCTATGCTTCCAATTCTGATGTGAACTCACTGTCTAAGAGCTTAGCTAGGTATCAAAAAGAGTGAGTTTATCTGGAAATGTTTGTCCTCTCAATGGTAGCACACACATAAAAATGCACACATAGACACACTCTCCCCATCACTTCCCTGCAACTACTCAAGCTACCTTCTGATTGGCTTTTGCTCCTCTGGGTAGAAGACAGAGCTGTTGTGCCCAAGCAAGTCTTCCAGACATTCCCCGGACCAGCACGGTGACAGAAGGGAAAAAATCATCTAGAATAAGATAGTTGTAAAAAAGTCTTTATTTCAGATAATAATCATGGAAACTAAGCCTGTTACCAATTCTAATAATCAATGCCACAGAAAAGTGTTTTCCCAAACTTCAGAATTGTGTACCATCTTTGTGATCAGTGTCCTAATATGTTGTAAACAATATCACATTATTTTAAATCAAGCACTCCTTTTTTCTCTTTACTTAAATTTCTTTTAAAAGGGAATTGTGTGTTATCGATTTGAAAGAACAAGCATGAGGGAGGTGTACAAGTCAAATTATTTTAACAATGCACATAAAAAAATTCATAAAAGAATGTATAGCATCGTATCAACCAGCATCATCACACCTATCCCCAGTGGTGCATGTATTACGTTGTCCAGAAGTACGATCTGAGGAAAGTCTCAAACTTCTCAACATAGCTTAATTGCAGAAAGACAGGCAAAGTGTCCGTGGACTTGTTACCTGTGCTTCTGCATGTCACTGTCCACCACAAGCCGAAGTAGAGGGAATGAGGAGGGAATGGGATTTGGGCAGGGGATTCAGGCAGACTTCCTGAGTGAGCCCAGTCCATCTTCTCAGTCTCTTTTGTCTCTAGTGTATCAAATTAATTCAAACTTCTCTTTGACATTTCCTGTTATATCTATAACAATAAGCTTAAAATTTCCTTGTAAAAATATAAAATGTGAATTGTTCACATTTTCTATAATCTTTGTATGTAACAGAAATCATTTGGGTTGAAAGTATAGAGTCTATTCACACAATAGAATACTATGCTGCACTGAAAAAAAAAGGAACTCATGAAATATACAAGATGGGTGATCATGCTAAGTGAAATCTCTCAGTCACAAAGGGACAAGTACTGCATAGTGCCACTCTTGTAAAGCAGGAATGACGTTGGGGGTTGAGGGGAGACTGAAAAAGAGGGGATAAATAATGTATATGGCATTGAAACAGATGAGGGAGAGAACGGTTTAAAAGGGATATGTGATTAGGTACTATTGTCATGACAGGAGTCCAGAATGAAGGCTGCATAGTGCAGTGGACTTGGGGCATTTTTCTTTTACTTTTCAAAGAGAAGAGCAAACTGGGGGGGTTGGGGGTGTGCAGGGAGAAAAGTGCAACAATGAATAGAAATCCAAAGTCTCTGTAAACTTTCATTAAAATTAATTTTTTTTAAAAAGAAAAGTAAGTACAGAGTCATGAAAAATCTGAAACAGACATACACCTTTACCTCCTTGGGTCAGGAAGCCAGAAGAGGCTATATGGACTCCGCAGATCCTTAACAGATGACTTAGCAGTAGGAGACCAGAAGAATCATAATAGGCAAAGGTCAGAAAAGAAGGTCTTGGGACCTGAACTTCATGTCAAGTCAATGTGAAGACAAGTCAAGGTCAAGTCAATGTTAAGTCACTGTGAAAGAAATTAAAAACAAATTCAAGCCTTCAGCTGGAATAGTAAAAGATGCTATGGGAAAATTCTTGCATAATAATTCAGGAAGCATCAAAAGAAGATGGAGGGAATACAGTCACTGTACCAAAAAGAATAATTCAATGCTCAAATATTTCAGGAAATGTCGTATTGTCAAGAGCCAAAGATAATGAAGGAAGAAGTTCAAGGTGGCCTGAAGGCACTGGCAAAAAATAAGGCCTCAGGAATTAATGGAATACCAATTGACAGTTTCAACTGAGATGCAGCCCTGCTCTCAAGTCTATACCAGGAAATTTGCAAGACAGTTGTGTGGTCAATTGCCTGGAAGAGATCCATATTTGTTTCTATTCCCCAAAAACATGATCCAACAGAATGCAGAAATTACCAAACAATATCAATAATACAACTGCAAGCAAAATATTGCTAAAGATCATCCAAAATCGGTTAGAACAGTACACCACAAAGAGCTGCCATAAGTTTAAGATGGTTTAGAAAAGGCTGTGAAAGATATCACTGATGATTTCAGATGGATCCTGTACCAGAAGAATGTTTATTTGTGCTTTATTGACTATGCAAAGGCATTTGACTGTGTGGATCGTAATGAATGATAGCAAACACTGAGAAGAATGGAAATTCCAGAACCTTTAATTGTGCTCATGAGCAATCTATACCTAGACTAAGAAACTTTTGTCCACAAAGAACAAGGAAACACTTCATGTTTTAAAATGAAGAATGTGTGTGCCTGATGGAATACTACACAACACGCAGGAGCAATGATTTTGTAAATGACTCCCTCACTTGGGAGGGACTGGAGAGCATTATGTTAAGTGATCTAATTCAGTCCCATAAGGACAAATACTATGTAAGATCATTATTGTAGAACATGTATGAGGATCCAAGGTGGGGCGAGTGGGAGCAGAGAAATAGGGGGTGGTGTTGGTTGGTTGGTTGGTTGATCACAAGTCACACAATTTGATGGGTGGAGGGAGGGTGGGTAAAGGAAATGGGAAACATCCGGTGTGAAAAACAATGTATACAAACTTTGTAAGTAAATTGGTGTAATATAAACATTTTATTTCATAAAAAAAAAAAAAGAAAGTGTGTGTCAGGATTGTATCCTCTCCATACCTATTCAATCTGTATGCTCAGTAAGTCATTCAAGAAGCTGGTCTCTATGAAGAATGTGGTATCAAGATTGGAGGAAGGCTCATCAACAACCTACATTATGCAGATGACCAACCTTGCTTGGTCACAATGAGGGCTTAAAGCACCTGCTGAAGATCAAAGACCACAGTCTTCAATACAGATTGTATCTCAAAATCAAGAAAACAAAAATCCTCACCACTGGTTCTATGATACGCAAAATCATGATGGACAGAGAAAGGCTGAAATTGTCAATCTTAATTGGATCCACAACTGACACACCTGGTACCAGCAGTCAGGAGACCAGGAGACATACTGCACTGGGAAAGTCAGTTGTCAGTGACCTTTCCAAATTACTGAGAAGCAATGATATCAGTCTGAAGATTAAGGTGCGCCTGATTCAGGTAATAGTCTTTTCAGTCACTTGCTATGTATGTGAGAACTGGACAGTGAGGACGAGAGAAGAATTATTGATGCCTCTGAGCTGTGGTGTTGGAGAGGAGTGCTGAATATCTCATGGGCTGCCAAAAGAACAAACAGAAAGGGCAGCCAGAACATTCCATAGAAGCAAAGATGACAAAGTGACGGCAGCAATGGTCTCCAAGATGTCATAAACGAAGAGGACAGCACAGGACAGGTCAGGGTTCCTATCTGTTGTTTATTATAGGGTTGTTGTGAATCATACTTTACTTGACACCTAACAACAACAACTTCTGAATCTGGGTAATGATAAAAGGCCATTAGCATAATGTGATGAAAACCTGTGATGACATTTATTTAATTATTCATTTTCAAACTATAAGGAAATGCTTCCTTTTCATTTTAGAGGATTACAAAATCGAACTCATACATACTGAATAGAACTGACATGGAATTCTAAAATCTTGCTCACCTTTGTAAAGGTGAGAAGTCAAATCATTAGTCACTAAGAAAATCCTATAAGGAAGGGGTAGTATGGATAGAAAATATCTAGCTGTTAGTTCCAGCCATGCCATATATTTCTCAAGTAACCCTGGACAAGTTAGATACCCTGAGCTTATTTAGAGTTTGTTCACTTGTAAATGAGCTAGGTTCTTCAGTCTTTTTATGCCCATGGGTTCTATAATCTTCAGTCTTGTCAACTTCCTTGCAGTAAGAATCACCCTAAGGACATGCATCCTTTACATATTTGTGGATACCAATGTACCATAAGGAAAAAATGTACTATTAGTAGCTGGTGTCATAATGGTAAGTACACACCTTGAGATGGTCTAACGTGAGGGGAAAAGGGAAGAAAGAGAAAAAGAGTACATGCTCTGTCAACAGAGAATCACTGAAGGGTTTCAGTAGCAAACAGGCATAATCATGCATGGAAGTTACAATAAATATTATAGCTGCAGCACCAGTAAGTAAAACAGAAATAGTAAGGCTATGGGGAATCAGACCAGGTAGAAAGCAAACGTAATAATCTAGGTAAGAAACAATGAAGTTTGGCATTTGGGTGGACTGGCAGAAATGCAGAAATAAAGATTCAAAAGGTCCCTGAGAGATGGAAACTGGGCAATCAATTATAAAAGGGAGTAACAGCAATTAAGTTGACAAAATGATTCTTCATATTCTTAATTTGTTTGGACAGCACTAAAAACGGATATAAAACAAGGAGGAGTAAGGGCCAGAGCAAAGGAAAGGCAGGATCCAAAGTTCAAGAGAGCGAAGAGTAGAACAAAAAATGAATTTGCTTTGTAAACCTTCATTCAAATTGCAATTAAAAAATGGTTTAAAAAGGAAGAGGAAAAAGTAACTTTTTAAAAATGTGAGTGAAAGTGAAAAAATTATATTGGTTATTCACGTAACCGTTTACATACATTTTGGGCTTTTCTCCTCAAATTTTGTTTTATAACTATTTATCACAAGTGACTAATTACCATGTCTAATCAATTCCTTGTTGTATGTAACCTTTCCCTTTTACTAATTTATCTATGTATTAATTTTTAGTCCCCTCGCTCTCTTTCCTCATTCCTGATAATGGTGACACGGATTTATTTTTTCCAAAAGAAAATGTCCCAGTTTTTATACAAAACCTTTGTTGGTATTTCAGATACATAAAAATGATTCTATTTCACATACATAGTCTATTTTCTGATCTTTTTCACTTAGTACTGTACCACACATGGAAGGCTGTTGGCTCAACGCAAAGTTACTTAGAACTCTCAGTCCTTCTTGCCCTGTTCCTGGGAACTGCTCTGCTGCTAAGCATCCTGATTTAGCAGTGGAGGAGGCTCAAAATGCTAAAACTTACTCTGTTCATTCCCCAGGGGCTGTTCCAGCATTGCCAGGATGACGCTGTTATCCAAGACAAAGTATCGGAAACTATGCTTGTTTATTGTTGGCAATCTGGAGTACTTAATCAACGTGGTCTCATTCACCAGACTACAGGGAGAGGCAGGACCACTGGGTGAAGGAAATGCACCAAGCAACTGCATGATACTATGGAGAACAGAAAAGAGGAGTTAATTTCCCAAAGCAAAATCTTATCATTTATCAGTTTATCTCATATACCAATGTATCCTTCTGCACTGTTAAGTTTTTAACTAAGCACAGCTATGCTTCTCCCTTACAGCTCAGATCTGCTCTCTGTGAAGTGCGCAGGATGTGCTGTCCAGAGTTCCAACCCTGGTGGCCAGAGCTGTCACCTGAGTTGCTCTCCAGGTCTTTCCCCCAGCCAAGGAAAATTACTTCACCCAACAGTACAACCCCCCTCCCTAGAATGCTCCATATCTAATAACTGACTGACTGATGCCAAAGTATAAAGTCCCTGCCTTCTTAACCAAATGAAGTAACTCTAAAGAGCCATTCAATTCCCAATTCCTCAACTCCAAGTAGAGCTGGTTGAGAACTTTATCACAATTGCATCATGGCTCAATTCCTCCTTCTACCCAATTTTGGTTCCTTCAATTCTCCATAGGAATTGTTCTTGAGAACATTTTACTTTTCAATCAACTGTACCAGGTTTCAGCATTATCCAAGTTATAAACTATCAAGGCATTCTAGAACAAAAGGACCCAGGTATCAGTCAAGCCCCACCATCTTCCAGATAAAGAAATGTAGGCTCAGAAGACAAGCAATCTTTAGGAGACCAGGAACCAGGACTATTACCTATGAGGTCAAGAGTAGATCATTATTCTTGTTTTACAGATAAGGAGTGTGAGGCACTGATAAATGTAAGGAAAACACACACACACACACACATACATAACTCAATACTTTGTAAATTTCAATTCACTTTACCAAGCTTTAACATCAGAAATGTTGATGTTCATAACAATTTTTATAGACATTCCATGGATAACAAAAATAAGAGTATTTACTATGCTGATAGTGCTCTAAGAACTTATATACATTATTTCATTTAGCTATTATAACAGCCCTATTAGTATTTTTTAAATTTAAAAGAAAATTTTTATTTTATACTAATTTACTTATAAAGTTGATATATATTGTTTTTCACACCATATCTTTCCCATTTCCTTTACCCACCCTTCCCTCCACTCATCAAACTGTGTGACCCTATGATTAAACACCTCCACCCCCTTGCCCATCCTCACCCCTCTGCTCCCACCCTCCCCCTCTTGGATCCTCATACATGTTCTACAATAATGGTCTTATACAGTATTTGTCCTTATGGGACTGAGTTAGTTAATTTAACATAATGCTCTCCAGTCCCTCCCAAGTGAGAGAGTCATTTACAAAATCATTGCTCCTGTGTGCTGCATAGTATTCCATTGTGTGACTGGAGATGTTGTTATTGTTGTTGTTGATTGCCATCGAGTCAAGCACAACCCACAACGACCCTATGAACAAAAGGCTTGAAGCTTTTCTATAACTATCGTCATTTATCAAAGTTCATCGAGTTTCCAGAGGCATGTTGTTTAGCAAGTGGATGGCATTCCTACTGGAGATAAGTAATATTTATTACCATTTTACAGTGAGGAACCTGAGGCACAGAAAGGATCTTGGAATTAAAACAAAGATATTTTTATATTGTAGCTCTAATGTCATCTGACCCTTCATATATATCTTCTCTGGAAAACTAATACTCCCAGACATTACTTTCATCATCTTAATCCTCAGCTCAGAAAATACTATAGTGATTTCTCTCTCCCCTTTCATTCTAATGCTTACACTCAAACCTCTCTGATTATACAGTTGTACTGCTCAACAAGTATTCTCCTCCCATGGTCTTTATTTCCAGAAGGAAGACTGTTCAGAATTTCAAGATCCAGGATTTAAGGAAAATAGAGATATAAGCACCAAGGAGTCAGAAAAAAAGGCTCTGGTTTCTAAAACAGGACAGAGTGTAGCAAAGCATAAGAACCAAGTGGACTTGCCTATGTTCCATGAAAGATTTCAAAACATTGCCATATAGGTCACTAACAAAGGAATGGGTCACTAAGCTAAAATCTTATCTGCTTGACCACATTTTCTTTTCTTGAGAGCAACTAGACTGGAAAGGAAGAAAAATATGTCTCAAAGCAAGATAGATAAGCATTTCAGTGTCCACAGACCAAGAAGCAGATGTTTGAACAGAGTAAGGGACTTCTGCTTGGTCTAAAATCAGGGTTGCATTCTTTCTATTTAAAAAGCTCAACTATATGAAGAATAATATGGCATCAAGACTGGAGACTCATCAACAACCTATGTTACGCAGATTAGGCAACCCTCCTTTCTGAAAGCAATGGTTTAAATCAAGAAGAAAAGAAAGCCTTTAATAAGAGTTATCTCTCAATACCAAGGAAAACAAAATTCCTCAAAACTGGGCCAAAAGGCAACATCACGGCAGATAGAGAAAAGACTGAGGTTGTCAATTCAATTATTTTTACTTGAATTCACAATCAACACCCATGATTACAACAGTTAAGAAATGAAAAGATGTGCTGCACTGGACAAACCTCCTGCCAAGGACTTCTTTGAAGTGCCAGAGAGCAAGGATGCCAGTTTAAAAGCTAAGGTCTGCTCAATTCCAGCCATGGTAGTTCCCTTTGTTTCATATGCATGCCCAAGTTGGGCAATGAATAAGGAAGACAAAAGGAAAACTAATCACTTTGAATTAAGGTGCTGGAAAAGAATACTGAGTATACAATGAAATACCAAAATGAAACTAATGTGTTGCAGAAGTGCAAGGAAGGTGAAACTTTGTCTCACTTTGGACATGTTGTCAGGATGGTCTAGTCTTTGGGAAAAGACATCACAACAGGCAATGTGAAAGATAAACAACAGACAAAGCTTTGCAGAGGCGGGTCTGATAGTGACAGACTCCGGGATGGTAAAGACTGTGAGGACAGCACAGAATTGAGTAGGCTTTTGATCTGCTGTTCACAGGATTGCTATGAGTCATAGGTGACTTGAAAGCATCTAATTACAACATACTAAACTTGTGGACAACTTTTAAAAGGCCTTGTGAACTTGAAGGGAAGTCTTTAGTAATATGCTCTGTGTGTCTATCCCTGGACTCTGCTGTACAGTGTTTTTACCAGTGTCTTTGATTAGGACTCTAATGGCAGGCACATTAAATGGGCAACTGATCAAAAACTGAGCTATATATAGCTGCATACACCAGGGTAAGATGTAGGATCCAAAAGACTATCAAATGACTAAAAATAACATGGTTATTCTTATTCTGTGCATTAAATCCAAGATCCCCAAAACAAGTACAAAGTGAAAGCCATGAAAGGTATTAGAAAAAAAGAATATAAAATTTTCAGTGACTTAGGCTAATTCCCTAAAGCCAATGCAGTATCTGCAGATATTTTAATCAAAGTATAATATTTAATTCTAATCAAAGTTTAAAGGTCACAGGACAAGAATGAAATTATTTTAACTAGTAAACTAACTTTAAAAGGTGCAGAGTAAAATGTTCACCAATTAAAAGGAAAATGATCAAGACGATAAAATTACTTGGATCCAAGTGACACACAAAAAATAACTGAAATTAATCCGAGAGAGTGTGAGCACATGCTGCTACACCCAGGGGAAAAGATTTCAGTACTAAAAGTCTGACTGAGAACCAATTTTTGTTGTTATGTCCCTTTGAGCCAGAACCTGCTCAAAGATGACCTTTCAGTAGATTTCAGAAGCTGATAAGTGACACTGGAGGAGAGCACTCCTCTTTTTCCCAGGGAGCAGCTAGTGGATTCAAACTATGTACATTTGGGTTAGCAGCACCAACTCATTACCACTAGATCACCAGAGCTTCCTGTTAGAACCAATTAACTTAAAGTTAACAATTAAATAAAATGCTAATATCCTTGCAAATCCTTGTTCAAATATTCTAAAATCAGAGTTAAATAACTTGTTAAATGTCTTATCATTACGCATACCTATCTTTATCGCTGCACTATTCACAACAGCAAAGAGATGGAAGTAACCCAAGTGCCCATCAACAAATGGATGGATAGAGAAGCACACAATGGAATACTATGCAGCACTGAAAAACAAGAAACTAAAAATATTATACAGAATGGGTAACCATGGAGGACATTATGTTGAGTGACCTCAGTCACAAAAGGACGAATACTGCATGAAGCCACTGTTACAGATCAGGGCTAGCATGGGGTAGGGGGGAAACTAAGAAAAAAGGAAAATAATGCACACCGCATTGAAACAGATGAGAGAAAGAACTATTTAAAAGGAATATATGATTAGGTCTTTGCATGACAACAGTCTAGAACAAGAGGTACTTCGCAAAGTAGACTGAAGGTCAGGGAGGGAGGAAACTGTGCAACAATAAAAATCTTTTTAAAGCGAAATATTAACTGGGCAGGGGAAGGGTTGGGAGGGAAATATGCAACGATGAATGAATGAATAAATAGAAATCAAATTTTTAGAATCAAATTTTTTTGTAAAGTTTCATTAAAATATCAACAAAAATTAAAATAAAAGTTAAAAAAGTTTTATTGTTGCTATAACAGTAATGCCACAAGTAGGTGAGTGAATAAACCCAATGATATGTAGCATGGGGTGCGGCATAGAAAAGCAGACCACTGAACTGGGGAGCAAGACAACTAAGAGAGTATGATCAAAGAGAGATCCCCTCTCTGGACTCATTCACCAAGGTGAGAAAGAGAGTAAGGCTTTTCAAACTTATTTACAGTTCACATGGTCTAACTTAAGGTGATGTCAAGGAGTCCAGAAAACAAGTACTAGAGCGCTTAGAACTAAGTTCCTGGTTCCTTACTGGTCTACCACTAAGGTTCCTTCCTTCTTCTACCTAATAGTTGTTAGCTATTAGTTACTATAGGCACTGACTCATAGCAACACTACATACAATACAATGAAATACTGCCCAGTTATGCACCATTTCACAAGCTCTGCTATGCTTACGCCCACTGTTTCAATCCCTCTTGCTAAGGGTCTTCCTCTCTTTCATTGACCCTCTGGGTCCAAGCACAATATTGTTCTCTAGGGACTAACTCCTCCATACTAATGCCCAAAACATATGAGATAATCCTCCACCAGTCAACACTGTCCTTAAAAAAAACAAAACTAAAAACCAGAGAGGATTATTTCCTTTGCACTGTACAGGGAAGGCGGGTGGACACCCTAGAGGACTGAGCCACTTAATATTAAACAATCATAATGAAAATGAAACAAAATATAAAAAAAACTATGAGATATCATTTCACCCCAGTCAAAATAGCAAAATTTAACAGAACAGCAAGCAACAAATGCTGGCGAGGTTGTGGAGAAACTGGAACCCTG